GGGGGTGGGGGTTCCTTCACAACCATATATATATATATATACAACAGTAACTCAAACAACCACTGGTTACAACCAAAGTATGCAGATGAACCTCTCCAAAAGCACCAAACCTTGAAGAAAATGTGCTGAAGCCGTAGAAGACCACAGCTGGCCACTCCCAAGAGCTAAGAACAAAAAAATGAGGGTACATTTGATATTGACTCACCACAACTTGACAATAGAAGACTGGGATACAACATCTGATGACTCTCAGTTTTTGATACAACATTCCGGTTTTAGAATTCAACATAAAGAACATGAAATCATAGATCTATTGTTCCTTGTATCAATAGTTTAGGTTGCTGCTAATGGTGATGCAATGGTGTGAGGGATAGCACACTTTGGGTAACTTCATGCCAGCTGAGCAAGCCTCATTTAAACACCACAAAACCCTACTTAAGTAATTGTTGATGACCATGACGGGAGCGTTTCCATTTTCTAATGTCTGCTTTTGGCAGGATAACACATTATGTCACAAAACACAAATAATAAGGAGTGGTTCCTTGAACATGACATTGAGTTCACTGTACTAACACACAGACAGACTCAGTTCAATACAGTGCATTTGGAATGTGGTTGAACAGGAAATTTGCATCATGGATGTGCAGCTAACAAATCTGTAGCTACTGTAAGATGCTGTCATGTCAGTCTGAGGAATGTTTTTAGTACCTTGTTGAATCTGTACCATGAAGGATTTAAGACAGTTCTTGACAAGCAGGTATACCTAATAAAGTGAGTGGTTACCTGCATTATATTTTTCATAAATCGATTACATTAATTTTCGTTTTGTTTGTTCTGTTTTTGCTGTGAAGCTTAACCATGTGCAGGTAAGTAGGAAATATTTTGTCTTTTATTGCTGTTTTGTTGTCGCATACTGTATTTCTCTACTTTATTTCAGGGAAACAGTAATCTTTTATAATATTTGGTTGTTTTTTTTTTTTAGAAAAGAGTACTCTTTGATTATAATATTCTTTAAGAAATGCATATGCCTGTATTTATATCTAAATACATGCATAGTATTGTATTCTCTGACGTTTATAGTAAGGGTTCTTTGGACAAACTAGTCCTCTGACAGTCCCAAAACGTCGGCTGCATCCTGTCTCAGAAGCAATGAGAAAAGATGCGGTGAAAAGACAAGATGTTTCCCTGCTACATACTTCCGCCTTCGCCGTTGCCTGCCGATGGTGGAGGAACAATCTTGACAGGTAGCTGTGAATCGGCGCGACGCCGGGAACAGGGCGGAACTTGTTACTGTTGTCTGCAGTGATATCATAACACTGCAATATGAAGACGCGCTCATATGACCGCCACCCGTCTCCATCCCTGGGCTAGACACAGGTCAGTGAAGACAACACTCGGTTAACCTGCTGCTCCTATAAATCCCCCATCTCCCCCAAATCTGCCGCTAATTTATATAAATATATATATTTTTGCCATAGCTGTTGTCTTGATGATTCTGTGATGTCGTCTCAAATGCTTACTTCCTCCACGCTGATAATGACACCTTATACATTTACATGAAGCATGTTATTATCGTTTCTTTTTAACCTATGATCGTGTAATGTTCCTAAAGTATGCAGTACAAAGCTAAGCTAGCTAACACTGCTGTTGCCGCTAATTCAGATATAACAAATAACTAATCGCTCAGGGATGTGAGCTTTGGGATTCCACATGAAATGCAGGAATTAGGCTGTAGCTACAATGGTGCATATATTACGACGTGAACATAGTTTTAAGTAGTGCCTAAGTAGCGCCTTCCCCAGCTAAAAAGCCAGCACATACATTATCTGATCCATCTATAAGGACATTCCTGCATAACAATATCCTGTTTTACATAGTTACAGAAATGCAAAACAAAACGGTAAGCTGGTCAGCAATCTTTGATCACTATAGTTCCCATTGACTGTAAGCACGTATTTTGATGGATATTTTTATTGAACTGGAAATCTGTCTTAATTCCCTTGAGTATTCTCACCCTTTATTATCTCATAGTATGCCACTGGGAGAGGATAGAGGGTTAATAAGTCAGATAGTGTGTGTAACCTTACTTTATAGATCTCTCTGAGCAAAAAGACGGTGGTGAAGGAAAACATTAATACAGTTCAGTGTTGCAATATGTTGTAATATTGTTTTCCTGCAATATCCCACTGTTCCAACTGCGTAAAAAGTAAACCTTTTTTAGATTCAATGCTTATCTTGTTGCGTTCTTTCTATTGTGATAGTTGACCTATAACAGGGCTATAGTAGCATGTGACTGGCCGTTGATGAGGCATCATATAAGTTTGTGCTCTGCTTGTTTGATTTGAAGATTTAAATGGCTCTTTTCTTCCCAGGTCTTATCATTTTGGTCAGGCTGCAACCTATTTAAGAGTGTGCAAAACATTTCTCCTGCTTGGATTAACCCTGTTAATGTGTATCTCACTTCTTTCTAGGGTAAAGTGTAGGCTTTTGCTTCACTCATCTCTCTTTCATAATTAGGTGGATGCTTGTAAAATCCCTCCACATTTTCTGACTTTATTGCTGTCTTGTGTAGGTGCCATAACTGGGGCAGGAGGTAGGCATGGGGAATAAAAGGAGGAGGAAGGATGCCAGCTGAGCCACTCGTCCCTCTGCATCTGCCACTGCTGCCAGCAACAGACTAAAGAAAAACAGAAAATGGCTCAGTCTGTGAGGAGGGCTGGGACTTTAGGAGCCATGGACCGTGAGCCCCAGAGAGACAAGGCGAGAACTAGCTACTTCGGCAATGTGAAGACCAGGTCAGGCCTCTAATACTTGGATTACTGGAAAGAAAGCAAAGAAGAAAGCATGTCTGTGATATGTTTGACTGATATTAGCTTGAGTAAGCTACAATTTAGTCCTTGTGTGTGATGCCTGACTACTAAACAGAATCCCAAAATGCAAATTTCCAACAACTCCACGCTCAGTCACATCATGTGGGTGAGAGCCATAGCATCTTGCCAAGAACTCTTTCAGTCTCTTCTCTAGCCATTGCAAAGACAACTCCTACTCCCCTATAAATAACTGGGCTCTGGCTGTGAACGCTACTGTAGTCTGTTATTCACACTTCAGATACTCTAAACAACACAATCTTTGAATCCCTGCTGTTAAAGGGAAAGTCCACCTTAAAATATAATTTATTTTTGAGTGTTAATATTCATTCTCGGCCAATGGTTACATACATTTGTGGTTAGAAGTTTACATCCACCCATTATGGGCATTAATGTCATGGTCATTTTTGACTTTTAACTATATCTAGAACGGTTCTTTTTTCCAGGATGGAATAATTGGACATAACACTTCTTAAATTACTTTAAAATGCCAGAATTGGGTCACAAGGTTGAAGTTATCTTGGATTCTCTAATCCAGACAGGGTCAAAAGTAAACATAAAGATTCAACTATACACATCCACTTTTCAATAAGTGGTGCTGAAAGTTCTAAAGTGTTATTAAACTTGAAGGCCAAGGCCCATTAACTTCTCCTTGGTGATCATGATTGACTAAACCTGGTAGTTTCTCTTTGTTACCAATAAAAAAAAGATTTGTTTGACAGGCTCAGACCAGTGGGAAGTCCAAGGAACTCAGTGAAGATCTAGAAAGCAGAGTTCTAAACAACTGCAGATTTCACAATCATCATTTCAAACAATTGTGCATAAGTAGATGTTATTCAGATATGTCACCACTTTTTCCAAAGTCTGGGAGAAGACCTAAATTGTTGCCTAAATTGACTTTGGTTAGGATGTTCAGGAACTACACAGGAACCAATAAGGATTAAGCCTGCGATGAACTAGAAACTGCTGGAATATCAGTGTCATTGTCCACAGTGGAGGAAAGTTTTATGGTCAGACAAGACAAAGATTAAGCTTTGTGGCCACAATGGCAAGAGGCATGTTTGGAGGAGTAAAGGTGAGGCTTTCAAAACTGTATCAGTTGTAAGCATGGTGGTGGTAGCATCATGCTCTGGGGGTGTTTTGATGCCAGTGGTACGAGTACACTGTACAAAGTGGATGACATAACTGGGTGTACCGGCAGGTCAGTGATCCCAAACATCAAAACTGGTTTTGGAATAGCTAAAGTAGGCTAACATTAAACTTCTGTAATTTCTTTCCCAATGCTCAGACCGCAATCCTACTGAAAATTTGTGCACTATACTTAAAAGCTGAATCTGTGCCAGGAAACCAACAAATTTAAGTTAATCCTACCGATTCATCCAAGAAGAGTGGTCAAAGATCCCCCCAGAGTTATGCAAAAACTTTCTTAGCAGCTACTAAAATGTTTGGTCAAGTTACATTTAACCAAATATTAGTTGGATTATTGGCGTGTTAGTATAGAGCCTTGTTAAACATTGCAAAGCTTTAATATAAAGGCATTAAATCTGTTTTTGATTCTCTGTGCCTCAGGTTGGGATCCAAGCTGCCTGCTGGTGTCTCTCAGCCTCCACAGTTTGCAAAACGGCCCTGGGAGACACAATCATCGGGCCGAGTGTTGCAGGAGGCTACAACCAGCAGCCAGCTCCAGCACCAGACAATTGTGTGTCGACCCCTCAACCACATCCCGCACATCAGAAACCCTAAGCTGCGGCAGTACTACCTCGCAGGTACTCCTGCAGTGTTCGATATCCTCAGGCAGGCTGTTTGCATCATGTAGAAGCAAAGCGCTGCTGGAAGAACTGCAGCTTGAATTAGCATTTTATAACTGACATGTAGAGCCTGCTGGCTGGTTCATGTTCATTATTTAAACTAGTATTCAAGCAGACTTGTAGTAACTGTGATATTAAGCTGCTTCCTCATACTTCTGCTGCTGCTCAGAGTGCTTTATCATACCAGAATGGCATAGCAGAAATGTGTGTTTTTTTCCACACAGGGACTTCATGGGATCTGAACAATACTGTAGTGACAAACGAGCAAGTGGGTGGATCGTCAGGTGACGGCCCAAGCAGCAGGGTGAGTCACATGGTTTTCTTTTAAACTTTATTTGACCTTTTGTGGGTGGTGAGGCACGCAGCTGTGGGAATATGGAAGAGAAAATTTGGAATTTATGGATTTATTGGCTGATTTATGTAACTTTATATCATTGGGTGTCTCAGAGTTAGCAGCTTGAGGGTAGTAATTGGTTTCATAATTTATGGTCTTCAGAGAATTTGATAAAGATTGTCCAAGGTTCAGCGATGAGTTGAGAGTCAGATTCTTTGATTGAGAATCAGAAATCGCTCAGCTGTTGTCAGACACCATGGGCAAAGAGAGTCTGTTTAAGAGCTTCTGCAACAAATACAGGAGGATTGCATTCTCAGACGTTCATTCTAAGGTTTGTCAGCTTGGATTTTAAAATTGAATGACAAAGCATGTAGCAATGAGGTAAAAGATGAGAAGATTTGTTTGTCTGCCCTCCCTCTGCCTTCTCCCACTTTTAATCCTTTCCTTTTTTTTTCATTGAAATGAAATTTGCTCTGTATTTATTTTAAATGCTGTTATGCTTCGATATAGTGCAGTTTTCTTTTTTTGGTAATTGAAATCACACTGGGAGAGAGTTGAATTGTATTCTATTTAATGTGTAGACGGCTAAAAGACTAAACATGTATTATCAGGGGTGATAAACCAAGTGAAGGAGCTAATTCAGACCTGCTAGTTCTAAGATCTGACCAGTCCTCTGAACACTTATTAACAACTTACATAAACTCACAATGGACACACAAGCTCTCCACATATAGGTGTCACTCTAGGAGTGGCCTTTTCATAGAAGTGTATCTTTAACACAGATTAAAAAGTGCTGTAGTGTACTCGTCACCTGATTTAGTGCAGCTACTATGTAACAATATGACAGGTTTCTGGAAAGAGGTGAGAGTTTGTAGTAACTGCAGGATATCGCTCCAAAATACAGTCGAAGGGATTTCTGGAACAAATAACATTGTTGCATAATGACAGAAGCATTATAGCACCTTATTTAATTGTTTTCCTAGTGAGCTGTAGAAGGTGGATAATACTGGAAGCACTGACTTCATGGTCATTAGGGCACATACTATACCTGACCTACCAGGTAATAAAGCATTTTTGTCAAGCGTCATAAATATGCCAGTGTTAGGCTGACTTCTCTGTTTTCAAAAAGGTTACCCAAATACATCGTGACGGTTGTGGCTTATTCTCAGGCCAACCAGCGGCTTCGAGTAAAGTCAGGAGACAGCGTTTCAGCTTTATTAGCGGCGAACAATGGAGTTGGACAAGGAGAGATTTAGTCTCCAGCTCTTTTAAATCTTTATGTTGATGTATGTCAAAGAAGTTGAGGACAGGCGTTTAGCATTGCAGATAATAAGGAAAAAGATCTGGGACATGTTATTACAGATTAAATGGCAGCTGATGATTATGTTTATAGGCAATGCCAGATTACACATGCATGAAATGTGTGTAAAGATACTGCGAAGATCTCTCTAATTACAGCATATTGTTTACCTCTGTAAACGGCACATGGAGAACTACAGGAAAGCACGCTTCAACTTCAGGTAGCTCATAATGACACTCTGAGGTTATTATTGAAGAAACCGAGGTGGCTCGGTGCAAGTGAGATGTTTGTAACGGCTGGAGTCAGTACAATTGAAGCTTTATTTAGAAGTCTCATGTGTAAGTTTATTTAGAGGCTCAACACCTCTGAGAATGAGAATGTGGGCTCAATGGATATGAGGTTTGAAACCACATACGTTATCCGTCTTTGTTGATGAGACACAGATGTAGTTGGCTGTTTGTGGGAGGGCGATTTGGGGTGTATTTTGTTTGTTTTTAATTTTGTTTCTTGTGTTTTTATGAGTTTTTTCGTCTCCACGGGCCAAGTTTCCGGAATAAAGACCGATTGATATACATTGAAATCTGGGTGCGTTCGCTGTTTTCTCCACTGCATCTAATATGCACTGCACTCACAGCACTTATGTGTACACTTAGTTGTCAAACTAAGGTATTGTGTATTAATGAGATGTTTGCTGCAACTCGCCAAATTATTGTGCGTTAGCCGGCACTAATGCGTACATGTCCATGTCCTAAGACGCGGCTAAAAGCCCACGCCCACACGAGAGCACTGTGATTTTCCACGGTTACATAATATGTCAGGCGCCACTAATAAAATTTAGGTCGATGGATCCATCTGTCAGCCGATGACAGTCGTTATGCTTTACTCCCACAGTTTCAAATTGATAATCTTACGTGTTTGTGTCT